GCTGCTGCTGCTGCTGCTGCTGCTGCTCTTTCTGGCTGCCTCCAGCCATGGCTCTGGTGGGCTGCTGGCCTTTGGTGCACTTGGCTGCCCTCTTGTGGCTGGGCTGTGCCACTGCCCCAGGGGGAGCCTTGCTGGGAAAAGGGCCACAGAGCCAAGCCTTGACCAGGGACCCCCAAAAACTGGGGGCCAGGGCCTTGCAGGAAGGGGACACCCCCCACCCAAGGGTGCTGGGCTTCCGCCTGGAGGAGGGCGCCACGGCCGCCGGGGGGCTGGTCCGGGCCACGCCGGGGGCCACCTTCCGCCTGCGGCTCTATGGCACCGGTCTCAGCAACCACAGCTGGCCGTGGGCGGCCTTCCTCCCCGTGGAGACCCCCTGCGCCGTGCCAAGCGGGGGCCCGTCCCTCGCACCCGCCACTCAGGAGCTCCTCGTCCACGACGTCCGCCCCGTAGGGGACCACGCCGCCCTGGTGACCGTCACAGTGGGCCCCGTGGTGAGCCGCGGACGGTACCGACTCTGCAGCCCGGCCGGACCCGGGCACGCGTGGGCGCCGGCCGCCCCCGGAGACGCCATCTTGGTGACGGAAGACGAAGGCGGCGGAGGCGGGAGGGTGGCCGCGGTGGCGCTGCCCCCGCCCTTGCCGCCGTGGTTGTTGGGCACTTTAGTGGCCTTGCTCTTGGCCCTCCTGGCCTTGCTCCGGACCTTGCAGCTGGGGACGTTGTGGCTGGAACCCGTGGAACTCTACGTCTTGCGGGACTGCGGCTCGGAGTCGGAACGGGAGGCCGCGAAAACCTTAGAGCCAGTCCGCCAGCGGGGGACCTTCGTCCTGTGCTCCCTGTTGCTCCTGAGCTCCTTGGCCAACGCCGCCTTGGTGGTGCTTTTCTACCGGGCCGTGGGGCTGTTGGCTCCGGCCGTCCTAGGGGTGGCCGGCTTGGTCTTCCTTCTGGCGGAGGTGCTGCCCTTTGCGGTGAGTTCCCGCTGGGGTCTCTTGCTGGCCCCGCGAGGGCTTTGGCTGACCCAGCTCTGCATGCTGCTGACCTTCCCCGTCTCCTTGCCTCTCAGCAAAGCGTTGGAGCTGGCCTTGCGCCACGACACCAGCACCTGCCTCTTGCGGGAGAAGATCCTGGACATGGTGCGCAACA